GACCCCAAAACAAATTTTTGAAAAATTGGCTTCAGCAAAATAATCATTTAACAATAATATATTTGTACCAATTTCAGGTAAGATTTGACATGTAAGATTTCCATGGAAACCAATTAATGACCTGCATCATTGCTGGAAATTGCTTTGAAAAACCTGCTAATGGAAAATTATGTCCATTAAATTTGGTCCAAAAATTATCGAGTAATATACCAAATTGTTGTACCATTATTTTAGTAGAACAAATTATGGTGTTCAAGTGGGTAATATTATACTGTATGTGTTCGTATCTTTCAGGTCGTCTGTCTCTGTTCACCTCAGGATCTGAAAATCTTCACTACGTTGAGAAAGTCTCATCAGGAACCCGTTACGCCATTACAGTCTCCTTCACGTGTAATGATAAACATGCCATTGAAAATCCAGACTTTTAGTCCTCCTTTACATACTTCATATTTTCCACTCTTATATTCATATTAAAAAGGTGTTAGAAGATAAGGGCATTATACGCGATGAAGATTCAATTTCAATTCGCACAAGTTCGTTCAAAAGTACCGATAGTCCAAAATAGGGACTTGTAATTTGACCACCATATGTCCATTGTGCGTCCATCTGCATCTGTATCTCAGAAATGCCTAGGCCTATTTTATTCAAACTTCACACACACATCACTCATCATATTATACATATGCGCATGCATTTGTTTAATGATTCAATCCAAGATTGCCAAATGGCGGCCATTTTAGTGTTAACAGTTCATCAAAGTCAAGCAAATCTGGAACTGGATCTTGGTCATGCATGAACATATTTTATTCAAAAATGGTACGTTCATGAAACATGATTTTTTTTCTCTCAGATTTGATTCAAAATGACTGACTGATGGCCATTTTGTTTTTAACTAATGCTGTTTTTAGAGCCATATTAGTAACATGGCTGGACTAATCATGTTCAAACATTGCACCATGTAACACATTTGCACATGAATCTGATTCAAGATGGCTGATCATCATTTTCCTGCTCTAAATGCATTATGTGAATGTCATGGGCAGAATAAAAGAAGAAATCACACAAATAAACTTGCTCCAATTTGTATCATGTCTGTCACATGAATTTAGATAATTATTTGGCACCAATGTTGGGAGTCACTATAAAAACTGAACAGGGAATGTCGTTGATTTGTTTGCCTGTGTATTACACGTTTTTGTCTTTTTAAATCAAACTGGGTGATAACCATCATTCACATTCTGTTATGCCATTGGTCATTGGTCATTATCATATTTGCATATTGTTATGGATCTTATTAATTCTTGATTATTACAGGTAATTTTTTTTTTAAATAATTTGGTTTTGAGTTCCCGATTTTATTTCGATGCTTATGTAGGTTTTTTTAAAGTATTAAAGGGCGGTGGTTGTCACACTGTGTTGTGTTCGACTTGTATACAACATGTGTAAAATACATTGTTTACAAAAAAATTGAACATGAACTTGTGTGATGGTTGCCGCCCTTTCATTGAACAAGAAAATATTTTGAATGCAAGATGAATTTAATCTTTCCATTTTCTATGATCTAATCAGGAATAATCAATGGAGTCCAGGTAAAAATTCCCTGAGTTGAGCAAGTTGTTATACCGGTACTTTCATTTTCACCTTGAGGTCAGGGGTCAAGTGAAAGATGCAGAATTTCAGTCATTTTGACATTTGAATTCTGATGCATGATAAAACAAAAAGTAAAAACAAAAATAAAAAAAATAGCTTACCATAATTCTGTATACATGTCCCACAATGCATTATTTTGCAGCTATCACTGAGGTTAATTATAATGCATAAGAATCTAATTATAATCTAATTTTTAATATAAAGTTAGAAATTCATGGCTGCTTGTGGACATGCGTAAACCACACCTGACCAGCTTCCTGTACAACTCATGTTCTCTAAGTCTTGTTCACAATCAGAACTCTTTCACCTGACGCTCCACTATTTGAAGTGATATACTATTTGAAGTAATATAAATTTGTTCTTTAATTGGAGACAAGACATACAAACAATCATACTGTCTCAAACTGCACACATACTTGCCTGTATGAAAAGATTTTATTATCACTAATAGTTTTATCATTGTTAGCCATAAAGTGGTAATGACACCAATGTTGATTTGAAATGTGCAAACAAATCCACAATTTAAGCGCTAATTCAGCATCATTGTATTTTCATGACTAATGTATAGACAAGTTTTGAGTTGTAGCACCATCAGTTGGTTTCCATGTGAGAGTGGATTTCAAGCTCACGCAATTTATTCCCTGGTTTTTTATTGTTTTTTTGTGAAGATCCCCCTCTAGTGTTTTGATTTCGAAATGAAGTTTTATTTCATCTCTAAAATGTACCCAAAACTTGAAGCAACAGATCAATGCAAATTTTTAATTATAAATTTGTTTTTCAATCAGCAAGAGTTTAAATGCTTTGGATTATGGGTGATAATAAATAAAATTTATTCCAAACAGATGTTGTGACTGTGTTTCTGTTTTGTGGAGTGCTCACTTTTTAGCCCTTTTATAAGCACAAAAGCCAATTTCCTTCACAAAATATCTTGTTTTTGTTGTATTTTCTTGAATCACCAAATTGTCAGAAAATGTATATCTTGTAATTGCTGTTGTTATGATTACAATAAATCGAAAGGTTTTTATCGTTTGAAAATTGTTGTTCTATGTTCAGCTATACCTACCTTACATATGATTGATAGGTAGTGAATATAACTTCTTGGGCTTTATCATCCAAAGCTCCTAATTCAGAAAATGCACCACGCTACAGGTTGCTTGGGGACTGCTGTGGACCCTTAAATATCTAATTGCCCTCAATTAGTGAATGGACAGATATGATCAAAGGAAGGTGGCGAGCCATATTCAAATGATTGGCGAGTATCACAGGGACTGGTGAACAGCTTGTTTGTCCTGTGGGTAATGCATCTGATAGACCTGTTCACACCGCCTGAAACGCAAATATGTGTATTACCAGCTAGACCACCTGGCATATGCATTGGACGCAATGTCAATATCATGTGCGAATTTTACATTCCCACCGTTCAACATTGTGTTTAAGTGGCAGTGACACTGAATATCATGATATATTTTTGAGAATATTAATCAGTAACTTTAAAGTAAACGGTTTATTGTCGACACATTAAAGCGCGGTGGTCGTCGCGCAGCGTGTGTTCGAATTTCATGTAAATAAACAATGTATTTTACCCATATCGAACAGGACGCGACACGACGACTGCCGCCCTTTAATCAGTAGCTTGAGCACGCCAAGGCATGTGCAATTGGAGTCGTGGAGATACTTACAATTATCTTCAAAATGTTTATGATATAAATTATTACCTACATGAGAGCAATGCAGTGTGCATAAAGAATGTTCATTTCATGTTTGCAACAGAACACTAAAAGGAACAAGTAACCTGTAGAATGCTGTGTGGGTAATATTTTTATATTGATTTTTGCTGTATTTGCAGCAAATAGTTACCAAACAATGAGAAATCTATTGGATTGAATATACCTCTCAGGTGGCTTCACATGCATAGTTCAAGCCTGCCTAACCGGTGCTTATACCAGGATTTAGTTACAGCTTCATGTTCCCAGTAATCGCAAGAAATTGACATGACAATAGAAATTCATGAAAGACTGGCACTCCCATGCAATTAACAGCGAGTTAAATTCTTGGGATTGAAACATATATTTTGAAGTCACTGATGTAGCAATGAATAACTTAAAGTTGACATAAAGACGAGGTAGTTTATAATTTAATCAGTGCTCAACTAGAGGCTGAAATTATAATTAATTCGTTTATTTCAATTTCTCCTGAAGTCAGATAGAATATACTGGTGAAACACGATAGTACCCATGGGCGAAAGGGTGTTTTGGGGTGTAGTTTACATTGTGTATGGAGTGGTAGGGTCGGGTGTAATTTGTTCATTTCCAACTCTTATGAAGTCACGTAAAATTTCACTTAATTAATTTTTGCTGACATGTTTTCAAGCATTACATGTGAATCCAATTTTCACTGTGCTGTGTCTCAATAGAGTGTGAGGGAAATGGCATTTTCACTGGAATTTATTTCAGGGGGAAAATGTTTTCAGTGATAATGAAGTATTATGACAGAACCCCATACCCTCCCCGTGGCTTTCATTGCGTATGGAAGTTATTTTCACGAGTGATGCGGTGTATCCTGCTGCCGTACTTTCACGAGCGAAGCCACTGGGAGAGTATGGGGTTCTGTTATTATTACATATGTCCCATATTTGATTATTTCATATTCGAAAGAACGTGCAACAAATCAGGATAGAAATTTAGGTCGGGGAACCCAATTGCCCATTAATATGCTCCAAGACAGTGCTGCGACCTAGCAACGCGTGTCAGTGTAGAACGCGTGTCACTATACGTGTGAAAATAAAATAATCATACGTCTAAACTTGAGTCATTGTCCGAATAAATACTGCTCAAATTGACTAAGTGTTCAAAACGTCATAAAAAAGACGCCGCCGACGATGCGCGTCGCACAATCTTTTTGCTAGCTGTCAAACAACTTGTCAAGTCAAAACATCTACGCGCCAAAGTGAAAAGGCTGATTTTACTGCGGGTCCAGGCTGCGGGTGGATGTTCAGAGAGCCCTTAAAGATTGATAAAACTCAGTTTCCAGGTGGTCAACATACATTAAGTTCTCCCATTCCTAGTATTCTATGTGATGTACATCTAACATGCCAAAAATGAACGATTGGTGAACGATTTGAACCTGACAAAAATAGCAGACGGAAATGTGTTTACAAAATAAAAATAGTGATTACTTGATTTAGATACCAGGAAGGGGAGGGGGGGTAAAAGAAAAGTTATATAACATTTTATTATTCAATAATTTATTAAAATACATAAGTTTGTCCAACTCCCTGTGATACAACACCTCAGACATAGCTCATTGTACTCGGTTTGAGTGTGGGTACAAAGTTACTATTTGAATTTTTTATATCTTTTTTCATTAATGAGAAATTTTACCCCAAAGTTAGAGTTCACCAGGAATGGCTTTTTAACTCTTCTGTGATTTTTTTTGGCTTGGCTGATTTTGTTCAAACTTGATAGGCAGATCGTACCATCACTAATTGGAAAAACAATCCTGACCCACCGCTACCATGGCAACAGCCAAAATCTGTTTTTTGAATACTTTCGCCCCAAATTTATTACCTCCTACCAGTCTTGTAATAGCAGTGGCCAAATGATCATGCCTTTTATTCTGTCTACGTTGCGCACTGGTAAGAGATCACTGGCGCCGACATTGTTACACTGTCAACGTAATCCCAATTGAACTTTGAATAAAATCTAAATGCTGCCACCAATCTAGAAAATACTATCGCAAAACGGTTGGAAATAATACATTTAATGGCTGAATACGTCCTAGCAATAAAATAAAGTGACTTCTAAAGACTGAATGTTATTTTGCGAACCTCGTATAAGGTGCCCGGTTTTACTTATAAACCGACGTTAGCTTCACGTTCATGTCCTACCATGGTAACAGCCGAAAACATATTGCTTGTTTTTACCGGCTTGTTTTCATTGGCAACCAAAGTATTTTTATTTTGTAAATAAATGTTCGTCTGCTATTTTTATCCAGTTTAGCAAAATTTTTTG